TGATTTCTGCCGACCTCTCAACATTTACTACTTATTTCCTTTCTCATCAGCAACACCCAATACAATACTAATTTGATTAGCAATCACCTAGTTAATTTCTGCCGTTGAGTAACAATGAAATATCACAGTTATCCTCTTCACTCTCTGAACTATCACCAAATGAACACCAGTTATTCACTTAATATTACACCACAATCATGGCAATTAGATCTAATAACAAGTCTGAAATCTGTCGAAGTTTAATGTGAACTTCCTAATGATACCAAACGATTTGTGTTTCAACATTCTTCAGTATCCGTATCCAACTTACAGATAGGGTCAAAATTCTGTGATGTGAAGCAAACTTTCAAAATATATCATACCTATGTTCAGATTTCAAATTTGACCAGACAAACTACTCATCTTTTTAGAAGTAGTATTCATCATGAACTGACATCAGTTGGGGAACCATTGAAATGTGGGAGCACTGGACAGCTGTTTCGTCCTAGTATGGGACTCCCAAGCAGTACGCACTCACGACTCGGTTACGGACCGAACTCAGGACCTTCAGGTTTCACAACGAACGCGTTAACCATTTGCCAACTTCTGACCGAAAGTTTGAACCTTCTAGTTAAACATTACAGACTACTATCATCATGACCTTAGCACACAATTGAACATCAACAGTCTCTCAAAACAACGGCACAGAGAACAACTGAAACACTTGAGATATAACAAAGATTTATTGATAAGACTTGCAAGAAGGGATATGGGTCTGCTTGTATCGAACCGAAGTGTTTTACAGGGAAGAAAGGATGGCTCTTCTCTCTGATGAATCCAACTTCTGAAAACCTCCGAACGAGAAAAATATCAGACAACTAATTGAAATACAGCTTATCTACTTCTTATAAAGATTGAAAAATGATCAGCTTATAACTGATGACTTCTGCTAAAGTGTCAAACCAACGGGTTCAGGACTTCCACTTCCTGACAGATTGTCGACCTCTTCATCCAACTGCGAAATCGTCAACCAAAATCCTACAGGCAGTAAGAATATGAAACGCACTGACTCTCTAAGGGACACCTTCCAACTTGCTGACTGTATCAGAGATGATGGGAGCATTAAAATATATGATAACACTTCATACTGAGTCACTTCTCACCAATTGTCCTCTTATTGAAATTGTTTAGTTCTGTTATGGACGTACTTATGGAAGGATTGATCCTCCCACAGGACAGTACACAGATAACATATTCCTGCTGGGTGAAGAGGCTGATAGGATTTTGATTCTAAGGGATATCTTCAGTTGCAATTTGAAGTGCATATCTCACGACACAAATGCGAAATTTCAGTCTAGAACTGGTATTCACCAGCGTCTTTTCTTATGAGGGGGAGTAAAATGTTTGAACGCTTTGATCGTTTCACTTAACTGGGTCAGTGACTGAAGTTTCTGGCAGCTGTCCATGTATGTCTGCAGACGGTTGGTGGTCGCCGTGTTGCTGGTTGAGTATCTTCATCACCTCTATCCTGTCTACGTTCACCTAAACGAAGCAGCATCTTCGCTACCTCGCCTCTCCTAGCCTCTTCTGCAAACTTGTTATTTTTCGCCTATACATCTTCGAATTGGTGCCACATATGTAATTAGACACAAATCATCATCGTTGACAAGATCAAATGTTCTACGGTGTTTTAATCGGTCAGACAGCCTATACCCATCTTCCCACAGCTCCTCACAGTTGTCTGATGCATGATCCAGTTGAGACCAGTCCAGTCCAGTTGACCACCATCAGGAAGATCATTGGTGATAGTAGGCAGCAACTTTGTCTTACTACTGTCCCCCATCTTCACTTAACAGGCATCAATGAACTTTCCATTGTGAATCACTCGGCAAGTGGTGTCTTCATATAGCTGTTGAATGAGGTTGATAAGTGTTTGTGACACTAGGGGTGTAGTGTTGAAGCAGCTGCCAAAGTACATCTCGTTTGACACTGTTGAATGTTATTATAGAAATCAATGAAGTTGAGATAAGTGCAAAACTTTTGCAGTGTGGTAGAATTTAATTTCCTTTTTATTGATTTATTCGATTTATCACACAGTGAAAGAACAGTATTGTTTACTGGATTTCGTTTCGGATATAATTTATTATTCATTGACATATCAGGTAACTCGATAAACTTAGAGATATCCTTTATATAATCCTAATTTCCTCGTCTCTTTGTCAGATGGGTAGTAAGATTTTCCGTACATCCAGAACATGTACTGAGTTATTCCTGTCACTGTATGTATGAGGTGTTGATTCGATACACAAGGATTCAGTTATCAATCTCTCCCTCCCTCCACTCTGTTATGTCAGTTTTAAGGATTTTCACCCTCTATCATCCTATTGTGTGGTTGTGTGTAATCGCATGTTTAGCTATAGCTGAGCTTTTTTCTAAATTCCTTACTTACCTTACTAGGTTCTACCGATTTTGACCTACCTAGGTTTTTGTGTTCCGATAGCCTAATTCACCCTGGTCAACTACTTTGACCTATGTATTTGACCTGGTAATCTTTGCAAGGGATTTGTTAAACTAAGTTATTCTGCCTAATTGGATCAATAGGATGTTTTAATCTACACAGCTTATCTCGAAGTGAGTTTGTAGGTTTAAATGCCACTCGAATCCCAGTCAGCCTTGTTGAGAATTCTGCGTAGTGTTTCTGAGGTGCCTTCTTTGTATGGTAATGCTGTGGAGGTTTTGAATTCTCTATTCACAGTATTGGCGCTACTATTATCAACACTATTATTGTTGCTGTTATTACCACTATTATTACTGCTAAGGAGCTCACCAATTAATTTGGTAGGGTAATTGTTGATGATAAAAGCCTTCATCATCAAATCGTCTCACTCTGTGTCAGTTAAAGTTGGCTCAGTAAAGTGTCTAAGTAGTATGGCCGAAAAGCTTACTAGAAAAACAGAAGATCTAAGACAAGGAACCAGATACAATAAGGATACCCTACTCATCAGAACTTACCCGCCGAATTCAAATGATAAGTTCCTTAGAAATCGTAAAAGAATATCGGTAGCACAGGTATTGATAGTAGTAATAACAACAACAATAATAATGTTGATAATAGTAGCGCCAATACTGTTAATAGAGAATTCAAAACCTCTACAGTATTACCATACAAAGAAGACACCTCAGAAACACTACGTAGAATTCTCCATGAGGCTGACTGGGATTAGAGTGGCATTTATGCCTACAATTATTATCATTGTTTTTCCCTTGGGTCCCTAGTTAAACATGGGGATTCAGTAGCACGCCTCCATTTCACTCTCTTCTCTGAAATCTTTTCAAACTAACACCACAACTGCCCACAAGTTCTCATTTCTTCCTCACACCATCTCCTCCATGTCATCATCAGCTGGGACGCCTAGCTCATCGTTTCCCATCGTGGTTCCACTCGAACAACTGGCCTGACGCGTGATGTCCCCACTCGGCCTTCTCAGTCTATGCCAAATCCAATCCATCTACACTTCCTTCCACTGCATATTTCTTGAGCGATAGGTTCTTCCTCTGTTGGTTCGTCGTCATCCACAGTTCCTTGTTGCTTATTCTTTCCAGCCATCTGAGCTTCAGTAATCAGCTTAGACAGTTGTTGATGAATGTGTGTAGTTTGTTGGAAATGCCTTTCGTAACGCGCCAAGTCTCTCAACCATCACATAGAAGCACTGATTTACTTGACTGACATTGGTGTTGAAAATCAGGATGTTGTTCACTGTTTCTGCTGAGTGAAGTAGATCTCCACACTGGTTTCAGGTTAATGAAGGCCTGTCTTTCTGTCTTTCTGATCCTGGCTTTGACATCCTCATCTGTACCTGTGTCGTCTGTAGTTGAAGCGATGTCGCCTAGGCAGATAGGTGCAAGAGACTGCTTCTTTTAGATTTCTAAAATTGATGGTGATTGGTGCTTGTTGTTGTTGTTTGTTGGGTATCTTCATCACTTCTGTCTGCTCTACGTTCACTTGTAGTCCGGCCTTCGCTACCCTGCCTCTTCTGTCAACTTGTTGGATTTTGCCTGTATATCTTCGAGTTTGTGCGACATTAGACACAAGTCATCGGCGAAATCCAAATCTTCAAGGTTCTTTATTCCGGTCCAGCGTATGCCCTTCTTCTCGCTCCTCACAGTTTGCTACATGATCCAGTCCACCGCAATCAGGAAGATCATGAGTGATAGTAGGTGGCAGCCTTGTTTCACTCCTATCTTCTCTTCGAAGGCATCACTGAGCTTCCCATTATGAATTATTTGGCATGTGGAGTTTTCATATAGCTGTTGAATGAGGTTAATAAAGGTTTGTGATATTCCATAGTATTGGAGCAGTTGCCAATATCTTAGAAATATATTATCATGATAACACAATACTATGAACATTGTTTCAACAAACCAAAATGCTATTTATAGCAAAAAATAGAAAATAAATCATTTTTTAGCATTTAGTTTAATTGAATAACTTAACTGTAAATTTATATTGAACATTTACACGCATACTGATATTTGTCTTTCAAATGGAAATGATAAGTGAACAGTCAGTGGATTCAACGTTATCCATGAGATGGCGACACGAATAACTATAATAATAATAATAATAATAATAATAATAATAATAATAATAATAATAATAATAATAATAATAATAACAATAATAATAATAATAATAGTAATAATAACAATGATAATGATATAACAATATTTGTTTACTTTTTAGATTGTCAATATCATATCAAGGGAAGTGAGCAATCCAAGTTATTGCTAGATGAAGTTCAATGTATAAACTATGATGATTGTTTAAATATGGTAAATATGAGTTTATCCATTGATAATTATAAATGTAAAGTGGAAATTAGTCATTTTCAGTTAGTCAATATTTACTTCAATTTCATACAGTATATAACATGAAATTCATATCTACTACTCACATTGAAAATTGAATAAATTCACTTTAATCATTTTCAATTAATCAATAATCTTGAATATGTATGTAATTATCTTATTTTTGTAAATGATGGTTTTATTTCCATATTTTGTAATATTTTTGTATTATTATTTTCCCATAAATCTGTAATATGTTTCTTTTGTAATTTTGTAATTACTTTTATATGAATTAAATCATTCTCTTTAGTAGTGTATAAAGAAAAGGGATTAGAACGCCAAAAATTGTTATGTTTAAGAAATTTTACAGTATTGGTAATTTTTTCTAATGAAGGTACACCAGGCTTTTTACTTTGTAGTATTGCATCAAAAACAGCTGCTTCAGAATGAATTTGAGCTATTGTATCATCAAAAAGATCTGGATTTTCTTGCCATATACATCCAGATTGTGATTTCCAAAAAAATATTTCAATTATTTCATTAATTGTATTCATTAAGCTATTCATTAAACAATTGTTGTACATTTCCTATGATAATACTTTAACTGAAATGATAATCGATAATCTAATTTTAAATATATCGACCTATATATATATATACATATTGCATAGCTAACTCGAATATATATAGTGATTACAGCTCAGGAAATATTCACCAGTCTACTAGTGAATAAGGCATATAACAGTGATTATTTATTGAGACATCTTTAGATATCCTATTGATTTTTTATTCTAGATAAAGGGGAATATACGAAACCATTCCATTCATTCAAGGATAAACACTTAACACGTATAGACAATAATACAGGCTGTAAATTGAAAATTTCAAAGCCAACTCATTTTGATCGAGGACAGCGTATTATTATTATTATTGTTTGTGCCTTGGGTTCCTAGTGGAACATAGGGATTCATTAGTACACCTCCATTCCAATCTCTTCTTTGCAATCTTTTCAACCTAGCTCCATGACTGCCCACCAGCTTTCATTTCTTCCTCACACCATCTCCTCCATGTCAGCCTCTCACGCTCAACTCGTCATTTCTGCTTTGGATTCCATTCGACTGCCTGGCCTGAGGCATGATGTTCCCAATTGGCCTCCTCAGTGTGTGGCCAATTCATCTCTACTTCCTTCCAGCGCCTATCTGTTGGGCGACAAAATCTTGGTTGGTTTGTTCCCAGCCAACCACACTTCCTACTTGCGTATTCTTCCTCGTCTTCACACCTGATCTTCAGTATCGAGTAAGCGTAGGTGGCAGCTGTTGATGAATGTCTGTAGTTTGTTGGAAATGCCTTTCGTAACGCGCCAAGTCTCTCAACCATCACATAGAAGCACTGATTTACTTGACTGACATTGGTGTTGAAAATCCGGATGTTGTCCACTGTTTCTGCTGAGTGCAGTAGATCTCCACACTGGTTTCAGGTTAATGAAGGCCTGTCTTGTTGTCTTTGCGATCCTGACTGGTTTTGACTTCCTCGTCTTTGCCCCCTGTAGTTGAAACTAGGCTGCCTAGGTAGCTGAAAGGACACCGTATACGAATAGTCTTTGTATTTGGTGAGAATTGCATAAATATTGAATTATGTGTACTACAGAATAAAGAAATTTTCCCACAACTTTATGCATTAGCAGTCAAAGATGTAAATGGATACTATACAATTGAAGATGTTTTAAACAAGAACGAAGATCTAGTAACATATTATAAATTGAAATCTTTTATCCTATCCAGTCAATATGATGCATATATGAACCAGTGTAAAGAAACAATTTTTGGGATTATTGAGAAAATGAATTGTCGTCTAGTTATATCAAGAAAGTCAAACTCCGAAAGAAGGGAGACCTAAATCTTTGCAAGGACTGACGAGGAATCATGCTGCTGTCCACCCAATGCAAGCAAAATATTAAGCTGCATCATCCTGGAGAGACTAAATGATGCTTTGGATTTAAATTACGACTGGAACAGACCAGCTGGATTCAGGAAGAATAAATCATGTGCGGATCAAATTGCAACGCTACGGATTATCATAGAACAAAGCACAGAATGGCAGTCAACTCTCTACCTCAACTTAATCGACTTCGACGAGGCCTTTTACAGCGTCGACCGAGAAGTAATTTGGTAGTTGCTTCAACACTATGGAGTGTCACAAGTCTTTATCAGCCTCATTCAACAACTATCTGAAGACGCCATATGCCAAGTGATCCACAATGGAAAGTTCAGTGATGCCTTCGAGGAGAAGATAGGAGTGAAACAAGGCTGCCACCTACTATCACCCATGATATTCCTGATTGTGGTCGACTGGTTTACGCAGCAAACCGTGAGGAGCGAGAAGATGGGCATACGCTGTTTGACCGATGAAAAGAGCATAGAAGATTCGGATTTTGCCGGTGATGGTTTATGTCAAGTGTCTTGTCGCACGAGCGCAAAGATATACAGGCGAAAACTAACAAGTTGACAGAAGAGGCAGGGCAGCGAAGACGGGACTTCAAGTAAATGTAGAGAAGACGGAGGTGATGAAGATACCCAACAAACAAGAACAACAACAAGCACCAATCACCATCAATAGGAGAAATCTAAAGGAAGCAGTCTCTTGCACCTACCTAGACAGCCTAGTTTCAACTACAGGTGGCAAAGGAGACGAAGTCAAAACCAGTCAGGATCGCAAGAACAGCAAGACAGGCCTTCATTAACCTGAAACCAGTGTGGAGATCTACTTCACTCAGCAGAAACAGTGAACAACATCCTGATTTTCAACACCAATGTCAGTCAAGTAAATCAGTGCTTCTATGTGATGGTTGAGAGACTTGGCGCGTTACGAAAGGCATTTCCAACAAACTACACACATTCATCAACAACTGTCTAAGCTGATTACTGAAGCTCAGATGGCTGGAAAGAATAAGCAACAAGGAACTGTGGATGACGACGAACCAACAGAGGAAGAACCTATCGCTCAAGAAATATGCAGTGGAAGGAAGTGTAGATGGATTGGATTTGGCATAGACTGAGAAGGCCGAGTGGGGACATCACGCGTCAGGCCAGTTGTTCGAGTGGAACCACGATGGGAAACGATGAGCTAGGCGTCCCAGCTGATGATGACATGGAGGAGATGGTGTGAGGAAGAAATGAGAACTTGTGGGCAGTTGTGGTGTTAGTTTGAAAAGATTTCAGAGAAGAGAGTGAAATGGAGGCGTGCTACTGAATCCCCATGTTTAACTAGGGACCCAAGGGAAAAACAATGATAATAATTGTAGGCATAAATGCCACTCTAATCCCAGTCAGCCTCATGGAGAATTCTACGTAGTGTTTCTGAGGTGTCTTCTTTGTATGGTAATACTGTAGAGGTTTTGAATTCTCTATTAACAGTATTGGCGCTACTATTATCAACATTATTATTGTTGTTGTTATTACTACTATCAATACCTGTGCTACCGATATTCTTTTACGATTTCTAAGGAACTTATCATTTGAATTCGGCGGGTAAGTTCTGATGAGTAGGGTATCCTTATTGTATCTGGTTCCTTGTCTTAGATCTTCTGTTTTTCTAGTAAGCTTTTCGGCCATACTACTTAGACACTTTACTGAGCCAACTTTAACTGACACAGAGTGAGACGATTTGATGATGAAGGCTTTTATCATCAACAATTACCCTACCAAATTAATTGGTGAGCTCCTTAGCAGTAATAATAGTGGTAATAACAGCAACAATAATAGTGTTGATAATAGTAGCGCCAATACTGTGAATAGAGAATTCAAAACCTCCACAGCATTACCATACAAAGAAGGCACCTCAGAAACACTACGCAGAATTCTCAACAAGGCTGACTGGGATTCGAGTGGCATTTAAACCTACAAACTCACTTCGAGATAAGCTGTGTAGATTAAAACATCCTATTGACCCAATTAGGCAGAATAACTTAGTTTAACAAATCCCTTGCAAAGATTACCAGGTCAAATACATAGGTCAAAGTAGTTGACCAGGGTGAATTAGGCTATCGGAACACAAAAACCTAGCTAGGTCAAAATCGGTAGAACCTAGTAAGGTGAGTAAGGAATTTAGAAAAAAGCTCAGCTATAGCTAAACATGCGATTACACACAACCACACAATAGGATGATAGAGGGTGAAAATCCTTAAAACTGACATAACAGAGTGGAGGGAGGGAGAGATTGATAACTGAATCCTTGTGTATCGAATCAACACCTCATACATACAGTGACAGGAATGACTCAGTACATGTTCTGGATGTACGGAAAATCTTACTACCCATCTGACAAAGAGACGAGGAAATTAGGATTATATAAAGGATATCTCTAAGTTTATCGAGTTACCTGATATGACAATGGATAATAAATTATATCCGAAACGAAATCGAGTAAACAATACTGTTCTTTCACTGTGTGCTAAATTGAATAAATCAATAAAAAGGAAATTACATTCTACCACGGTGCAGAAGTCTTGCACTTTCCTCAACTTCATTGATTTCTAAAATAACATTAAACAGTGTCAACCGAGATGGACTTTGGCGGCTGCTTCAACACTACACCTTTAGTGTCACAAACACTTATCAACCTCATTTAATAGTCAGCTACATGACGATGTAACGGTGCTACATGCCAAGTGACTCACAACCCAATGGAAAGCTCAGTGATGCATTTGAAGTGAAGTTAGGGGACAGGAGTGAGACAAAGTTGCTGCCTACTATCACTCACGATCTTCCTGATGGTGGTCAACTGGACTGGACTGGTCTCAACTGGATCATGCATCAGACAACTGTGAGGAGCTGTGAGAAGATGGGTATAGGCTGTCTGACCGATTAAAACACCGTAGAACATTTTGATCTTGTCAACGATGATGATTTGTGTCTAATTACATATGTGGCACCAATTCGAAGATGTATAGGCGAAAAATGACAAGTTTGCAGAAGAGGCTGGGAGAGGCGAGGTAGCGAAGATGCTGCTTCGTTTAGGTGAACGTAGACAGGATAGAGGTGATGAAGATACCCAACCAGCAACACGGCGACCACCAACCGTCTGCAGACATACATGGACAGCTGCCAGAAACTTCAGTCACTGACCCAGTTAAGTGAAACGATCAACGCGTTCAAACATTTTACTCCCCCTCATAAGAAAAGACGCTGGTGAATACCAGTTCTAGACTGAAATTTCGCATTTGTGTCGTGAGATATGCACTTCAAATTGCAACTGAAGATATCCCTTAGAATCAAAATCCTATCAGCCTCTTCACCCAGCAGGAATATGTTATCTGTGTACAGTCCTGTGGGAGGATCAATCCTTCCATAAGTACGTCCATAACAGAACTAAACAATTTCAATAAGAGGACAGTTGGTGAGAAGTGACTCAGTATGAAGTGTTATCATATATTTTAATACTCCCATCGTCTCTGATACAGTCAGCAAGTTGGAAGGTGTCCCTTAGAGAGTCAGTGCGTTTCATATTCTTACTGCCTGTAGGATTTTGGTTGACGATTTCGCAGTTGGATGAAGAGGTCGACAATCTGTCAGGAAGTGGAAGTCCTGAACCCGTTGGTTTGACACTTTTGCAGAAGTCATCAGTTATAAGCTGATCATTTTTCAATCTTTATAAGAAGTAGATAAGCTGTATTTCAATTAGTTGTATGATATTTTTCTCGTTCGGAGGTTTTCAGAAGTTGGATTCATCAGAGAGAAGAGCCATCCTTTCTTCCATGTAAAACACTTCGGTTCAATACAAGCAGACCCATATCCCTTCTTGCAAGTCTTATCAATAAATCTTTGTTATATCTCAAGTGTTTCAGTTGTTCTCTGTGCCGTTGTTTTGAGAGACTGTTGATGTTCAATTGTGTGCTAAGGTCATGATGATAGTAGTCTGTAATAGTTTAACTAGAAGGTTCAAACTTTCGGTCAGAAGTTGGCAAA